GGATGCCGATTCACGAAAGTGGTTGAATACCCTCAATGGGTATCAAACATATTCGTGGTGGGTAAGAAAGATGAAAAGATCCGAATGTGTGTGGATTATTGAGATTTAAATAGAGATAGTCCAAAAGATGACTTCCTATTACCGCATATTGATGTCCTAGTTGACAATGCTTGCAAAGAATGCCACTTATTCATTCATGGATGGACTTTTAGGTTATAATCGGATTAAAATGGTAGTTGATGAGAAGCGAGAAAACGATATTTATCATACCTTGAGGAACTTTTTGCTACAAAGTTATGCCTTTTGGGTTGAAAAATGCTAGGGCCACTTACCAAAGAGCCATGGTTACTTTATTCCATGATATGATGCACAAAGAGGTTGAAGTGTATATGGATAATCCGATTGCCAAATCTAAGGAAGAAGAAGACCACACTGCAATCATGAGAAAGCTATTTGAGAGACCGAGGAAATACCGACCGAGGTTAAATTATGTGAAGTGCACTTTTGGGGTGAATTCGGGAAGTTACTTGGTTTCATAGTAAGCGATAAGGGAATTCGGGTTGATCCCGACAATGTTAGAGCCATTTAGAGTATACTTTCCCCATCAATTAAGAAAGAAGTCGAAGCTTTACGGGTTGTTTGAATTACATTACTCGTTTTATCTCTCAATTAACCAATATTTATAAATCGGTATTCGATTGTTACGAAAGAAAAATCATGATGTGTGGGATGAAGACCGTCGAAGGCCTTTGATCGAACAAAACAATACCTATAAAACCCACCACTATTGGTGCCACCCGTGCCCGAACGACCATTGATTTTGTACTTATCAATGACAAAAATAGTCTGTAGGGGGTGTCTTGGGTCAACAAGGTGAGTCGGGAAGGAAGGAACAAGCCATCTATTATTTAAGTAAAAAGTTCACTCATTGCGAGTCGAGATATAGTGCATTGGAGAAGATGTGTTGTGGCTTAATATGGTGTGTATGATGACTTAGATAGTATATGCTTTATTATACTACTTGGTTAATCTCGAAAATGGATCCTTTTAAGTACATCTTTGAGAAGCCATACTGTCTAGCCGAATTGTAAGATGGCAAGTCATGTTATCCGAATATGACATTGTATACATGACAAGAAAGGCGATAAAAGAAAGTGCCATAGCCTACCATTTAGCGAGCACGCAATAAATGACTATGAGTCTCTAAAATTTGACTTTCCCGATGAATCAATTGTGGTGGTCGAGAAAGAAGAGCTGGAGTTGAAGGATGACATATGGGTCTTATATTTCGATGGGGTCATTAATGTGTTTGGAAATGGTATCGAGTCGGTCTTAATCTCACAAAAAGGATGACGAGTTCCCTATGGCGAGTGAAGTTATAGTTTGAATGCACTAATAACATTGCTAAGTATGAAGCATGTGTGCATGGCCTAGAAGCGACTTTAGAAATGAAGATAAGCAAGCTTGATGTATACGGTGACTCTTTGCTCATAATCGGTTAGGTGAAAAAGAGTGGCGGATGAAAGATGAAAAGCTAAAGCCATACTAAGAGTACTTGATGAAACCGACCGGTCGGTTTGAAGAGATTGAGTTCACCCATTTGGGTAGAGAGAAGAACCATTTTGTCGATGCACTATCAACACTTGCTTCCATGATCGAAATTGAATATGGGGTGAAGATTCAACCCATATGCATTGAGACTAGAAATGCCCGGTATACTTGTTATAGTTTAATTGAAGAAGAACTAGATGGGAAGCCGTGGTACCATGACATTAAGCGAGTTCATCAAAGATAGTGAATATCCGATCGATGCAACCAAGAATGATAGAAAGATGATAAGAAGATTGGCTATGGATTTTTATCTTGACGGTGAAATCTTATACAAAAAAATTTTGATGGCTCTCGTTAAGATGTTTAGACAGCTGTCGAAGCAAAAAAGACTATAAGAGAGGTCATGAGGGGATACGTGCTATGCATGCTAGTGGACATATGATGGCTCGATAGATTCGGCGAAGTGGTTATTTCTTGACCACCATGGAGAAAGACTGCATCGATTATGTCCGAAAATGTCACAAGTGTCGATTCATGCCGATCAAAAAAATACGCCACCGGCATCCCTTTTTAATATGGTATCACCTTGGGCATTTGCAATGTGGGGCATGGATGTCATCGGATTGATAAATCCTAAAGCAAGAAATAGGCACCGTTTCATTCTAGTAGCAATTGATTACTTCACCAAGTGGGTCGAAGTCGCCTCTTTTGTACATGTGACTTAGAAGGTTGTATGTCGATTTTTAGAAAAGGACATAATCCGTAGATATGGCTCTCCTAAAACTCTAGTGACGGACAATGCTCGAACTTCAACAAAAAAATGATGACGGATTTATGCCAATAATGGAAAATAAAGCATCATAATTTCTCCCCATATAGACCTAAGATGAATGGAGTCGTGGATGCGACGAAACAAAAATTTGAGAAGATTATTCGGAAGATGGCGGTGTCATATAGAAGGTCGGCAAGAGATGCTACCGTTTACCTTACATACCTATCAAAAAGGCTGTCGGGACTTCAACGGTAGGGACTCCTTACTCCCCGGTCTATAGGATGGAAGCGGCGATGCCTTTAAAAGTCAAAATACCTTCTCTAAGAGTTTTGAAAGAAGGCTGAGTTAGAAGAATCGAATGGGAAAAAATTCGATATGAACAATTGAATCGATAAGTGAGAAACGGCTTGCAGTAATATGCCATGCCAATTGTATCAAAAAAGAACGGCTAGAGCATATGATAAGAAGATGCGATGGAGAAGTTTTTAGGAAGGGGAGCTGGTATTAAAGAAAGTGCTACGACTACCGAGGCGAGATCGAGTAAATGGGCATCGAACTATGAAGGTCCTTACGTGGTAAAAAAGCATTCTCGGGAAAAGCTCTCATTCGACAAACATAGATGGCGATGAATTATCTAAGCTAGTGAATTCGGATGCTCGTAAAGAAATATTACACTTGAGTTGTAACTTTTCTTAGTTCAAAGCAATAAATATTCATCAAGTTTTGGCCAATCTATTTTACGTGTTAACGTTTTCTTTTGCTTCTTATGTCCTTTTTTCACCTCTCACGATCAAATTTTTATTTTATTCTCTTCCATAAAATAAGAAAAAAAACATATTCTCAAATGTGATCGATCCCTAAAAGCCTATTTTCTTGGTCCTCCGCATAAGGGTGTATGCATATTATTTATGGAACATGATAAACAATTCAAAATACCAAAGAATGACATGATAAAGTGGTTTACAAAAGCCTTTAGCTTGACGAGGACCTTCCAAATCGTGTCTATTTGGAATGCAAACCATGGGGCACCATAGGCAATTCCGATACATTAAAGGAATTCAACACAAAGGGAAAACTCGATGACAAAACGAGGCAGAATAGAGGCTCGAGGGGAGAGTCATCATGTCTTTGAACACTAGTCGGATGGTGTCGACATGATCAAATGACCTAAAATCAATGGATGCACGAATAGACGAGTCAAAAACAAAAAAAAAAAAAAAAGAAAGAGAGAAAGGGCGAGTGAGCCTTGGATTTCAATTGTAGACGACAAAGGTGCCATCGAGCAAGAAGAGGAAGTGTGGTTTGAACGGTCGGGGCTTACATTTCTAACGATGAGAAGCGCAATTTATGAGTCGGGAATGCATATTAAACAACAACCTCATAATTCCACCTAGTTGTCCCACCCACAAGAGACCAATTCTATCTTGTCCAAGATTACTTCAATAAAGTCAAACCCAAATAGTTAATTGTATTTTGCCAAAAACAAAGAGAAGGAAGTTAAGAATTAATTTAGCCAATTATTTCCTTTTAGGTCAACGCGATCGGTCGTGTCCTTCCAAATCAACGTGATCGGTCATGTCCCTTTAAATGAACGTAGTCTATCACATTCACTTGACATAGTCGATCACGTCCCTGCAACATTAATGTGGTCGGTCACATTCCTTCAAATCAACATGGTCGATCACGTTCCTTCAAATTAACGTGGTCGATCACGTTCTCTTTTTGACATGGTCAATCATGTCTCATAAAATCGGACCAGTCAATCGCATCCGTTCAAATTAACGTGGTCGATCACGTTCTCTTTTAACATAGTCGGTCATGTCTTACCAATTTGGAGCGGTCGGTCGCATCCATTCAAGTTATAATGGTCGATCACGTTCTCTTAACATGGTTAGTCATGTCTCATAAAATTAGAGCGGTCGGTTGCATCCGTTCAAATTATTGTGGTCAATCACATTCTTTTTGACATGGCCGGCCATGTCTTATAAAGTTGAGGCGATCGGATGCACTCTCTCAAATCGGCGTGGTCGATCACGTTCTTTTTTGACATGGCCGGTCATGTCTTACAAAGTTAGCGTGGTCGGTCGCATACTTTTAAATCAACATAGTCGATCACGTTTTCGTTCGATATGGTCGATTATGTCTTCCAAATTTTTCACTATTTCTTTATAAAGCTTACTATGTAAAGTCAAAGAAAACATTTCCAATGACTTTGCATCGTAAGCATTATAAAAAGGGGCAATTGTTAACACCTTAATTTTTCTCTCTTTTAATTATTTATTTATTTTTGTTATTATGAAAATACCAAAAAAAATGGGTAAAAAAAATGGGAACAAAAAAATGGAAAAAGAGAAAATCAAAAAATAAAAAAAAATCGAGTTGGAATAATTAGTTTAGGTTAATAAAAAAAGAGGGAGGGGGTTAATTAAAGAAGTGAAAAGTTTAGAGGTGATAAAAAATGCAATTGAAGGTCCAATAAAAAAAATTAAAACTTTTGTCCTCCAAATTACAAGGGGGCTCAAATTAAAACAAAAAAGCAAAATCGACCCTCAAATTAATGCATGTGAAGAAACCAAGGACCAAACCGATATTTAGCCCACCTCATGCATTTTTTTATACCTAACACTATTCATCCTCACAAAAAAAGAGGAGCCGACCACTAGACACGAAAAAAAAAATGCGGACTAAACTTCTCTCTCGTCTCTTTTTTCGCAAACCTGCCGCCTTCTCTCTCACCCACAACCTTTACCGTCTCGCCCGCCTCGCCCAAGCCCCACACTGCCAGCAACGCCTGTTCCGATCCTCTATTCCCGTACGTACCAATGGCCTAAGCCACATCCAAGCAATCGCACTAAGCGGCCCCCTCCCACACAAGACAAGCCGCACCAAGCTTCTATCTCTAACGTCGACCCTCGGCCTGCGAGCCTCTTTTCATCCACACACGACCCTCTCTCACAACCAAGCCCGTTCTCTTCCTTTCGCCCACATCTCTCACACCAACCCCACGTCCGAGCCTTCTTCCCTACACTAAACACACACTAACCATAACCATCCCTCACCCACACGCGACGACCTTCTCCCTCGCACATACACCGACCTCTCCTCTCTTGCCTCACACCAACGGAGTCTCTCACAACGGCCTCAAAAGCAACCCCACACCCAATAGCCAAGTCCCTACTCTAGTCCAAATAAACCATCACATACCGACTTTCTCTTTCTCACAAACAATCCCTTCAAAGCTCACCCGCATCAACCCAAAACGTATCATAACAGCTAGCCCCACTCACCCATAGCTCCACAACTGACCCTCTCAACCCTCACCCGCAACCTTCACTCCAGCCTCCTTCAAAGCCCCAAAACCAGCCCTTAAAGCGAGTTACAAACCAAAAATAAAACCCCACAAAAGTATCCCTACAACCATCCCCAAAAAGGACCCGAAATACCTACTAAAAAACCTCCAAAATCAGCCCTGCAACTATTACAAATAGCCCCCAAAAAACTATTTACGAGAGAAACCCTTTTGGCCAGCCCATTTAAACCACAAAAACAGCCACTAAAACACCCATAATCTAGCTTCAATATAGCCCCAAGAAACCCTCAAAAAACATCCCAAAACTTTCCAAAACCCGGACCCAAAACGACCACCAATAGCCCCCAAATACAATTGCAGAGAAGCTCTTTTGGATAGCCTATTTAAACCACCAAACCAGCCCTAAAAAGACCTCCAAAAAAGCTTCAAAATAGTGCCAAAAACTCCCCAAAAAAGACACTAAGACAGACCACAAAACCTGCCTCAAAACATCCATTTGAACACTTCTTTGGAGCTCTTAAAAAAGAAGAAATAAGAACGAAACAAATTTAAAGGGAGTAAGATGGTTTTTTTTTGTTGTGTTATATTATATTGACAGGAACAATATGACGTTGTAGATCGCATTTCTTTAGGTTTTGACAGGAAAATACAGCAAGAAAGTCATTTTAGATTTTTAGGAAATCTTGTAAGATTTCGGGAGCCCCTTCAAATTTTTCAACAACATTTGGAGTATTGCACAAGTAACGGAGAAACGTTTGGATAATTACTCTCCTTTCCTAGCTAATTGAACAATCATTTTTCATCGAGATTGAAGAGAGTATAACTAATTTTGTTTCGGACATCGAAGTTTCAAAGCTCTTGGGTAAAACTCTAAAACCATTGCATGTTTTCTTAAAAAAAATGACAAATGATTAAAAATGATTGGACTATTGGTTTGCGTGAATGAACTCATTGCATTTTGTTTGAATAGCCATAATCTAAATGTGATTGAAATAAACATTGTTGTATGTAGCCGATATCAAAAGACAAATTAAGTTGCTTTTTGGTTTGCATGCTTAGTTGTCCAAATGTAAAGTCTTATGTTTTAATTATCTATCCATGATTGATTGTCATCAAAATGAAGTTGTCGATGGCTTTCTAGTTATGTGACAAAGCCGTCGGAGGGCTTCGGAGCAATTTTATCGATTTCTACGCTCGATTCTTGTTTTGTAATGCATGTTTTCCTTTTTTTTGCTTTTAGTCCTCGTTACCTATTTTTTATTTTTCTCGATTTATTTCATCAAAACAAAGCCGCCGGTGGCCTCAAAAATAGTTTTTTTTATTTAATGTCTATCTTGTCTACAATGAAGCCGTTGATGGCTTCCCACTTATGTGACGAAGTCGTCGACGACTTCTAAATAATTATCTCGCTCCCCACTCGGAGCAACATGAAATTGTCAATGACTTCCCACTACTATGTCGAAATTATCGATAACTTCTTAAATGCATGACTCAAAGTCGTCGGTGGCTTCTCACTTGTGTGAGCAAAGTCGTCGATGACTCGTAGGTCATGCCAATAAAAGGCTATTTATTTTTTAGAAACTTACCTATTGTCAATAATAGGTCATGTTCGCTAATGACTAGTCGAAATTCTCATTTTTTACTTGTTTTTCATTTGGGTAGGACCTATTGGCCTTGGACCGACCTGAACATCCAAACTACCCTATTTTATATCCAAGCCATCCTATCTCATATTTTTACAAGATAAACTCATTTAATAGGCATAAAAACATAACATGATAAAAACTAGATTTTTATATTCATAGACAAACGATGCGACCTACCTTAGGTAGGACGGGATGATGGTGATGACATGTTTTCTCCATACGTAACCGACCCCTTATCCGGATATCCATGTAGACCGGTATGTTTAGGGTTTTCTAGTTCTCCCCGATTAGCTAGGTGGTAACTCTTTTGATTCGGCCCCCTCCTCTCACGATGGCCGATGTCGACATGCATAATCCTAAGGATCCGTAAGCCATCCAATAAAATGGAAAAGCCTTGACTTGGGGATAGGAAATGGCTAACCAACTTATGAAATTACATCACAATCGAAATCGTAGCCCAAAATGTTGGGGCAATAATTGAGTTTTCTATGTAAATAAGTCACAAGGTCGTTATAATACCGACCCTAAAAAGTGAAAGGTCGAGGAAATTCATTCACAAAAAAAGAGGTCAATATTTACTCTTCCGGAATAGTGAGGAGGGGTTGAGTGTCCTTTGATAAAAGGGTGGTCTATGTTTTTCGTAGGTACAAAACTAACCAAAATAATTGATTTCATTGATATATTTTAGGAATATCATTTCGAGCTCGGTTGCCTAACAATAAACCATCATTTGAGGCTTGATCATCTAATAATAAACCAACATTAAGTCTTGGTCTTCAAACAATAGACCATCGGTTGAGGTTCGATTGCCTAACAATAAAGCATCATTTTAGGCTTGGTTGTCTAATAGTAGACCATCATTTTAGGCTTAATAGCCTAACAATAAACAATCATTCAAGTTTGATAACCTAATAGTAGACCATCATTTAGGCTCGATTACCTAACAATAGACCATTATTTTAGTCTTGGTCGTATAACAATAGACCATTATTTCACCATTGCCTAACAATAGACCATTATTTTAGACCCAATCACTAATAATAAACCATCATTTTAGGCTTAGTGGCCTAACAATAGACCATCATTTCAAGCTCAATAACCTAGAAATGGATCATCACCTAATAATAGATCATCATTCTTGGCTCAATCACCTAACAATAGACCATCATTTTAGGTAGAGTTGTATAATTTAGCTCATCGTTTTAAGTAAAATTGTCTAATTTAGTTTATTATTTTAGGTAGGATTATCTAGAAATCATTTCTCATTTTTAAGTTAGGTTGTCGAACTTAATTTATCGTTTTAGGCAAGGTTGCATAACGGTCATTTTTATTTTGGATAGAGTTGCCTAATTTAATTTATAGTTTTAAGCAAGGTTACCTAGTGATAATTTCTATGAGGGCGAGATCACTTGAAATAACTAAATCATTAGTAACAATAGAAACAAGTCACACGAAACTGACTAGACCATCGATAAAAATTACGGCGAGTCACCTAGAATAACTAGATGGCTAGTAGAAGTTAGGGTAGGTCATTTGAAATAACTAGACAATTAGTAGAAGTAAGGCCGAGTCACTCGGAATAACCGGACGGTTAGTAAAAGTAGGGGTAGGTCACCCGACACAACTATAACCTCAATAGAAATAGTGGGAAGTCATCTAGAATAACCAAACCATTAGTAGAATTAGGGGCAAATCATTTAAAATAACTAGATCATTAGTATAAGTAAGGACATGTCACTCGGAACAACCAAACCATCGGTAAAAGTAAGAGCGAGTCACCCGAAACTACGAGACCATCGGTAGAAGTAGGGACATATCATCCTAGACTATTAGTAGAAGTAGGGACATATCATCCTAGACTATTAGTAGAAGTAGGGACAATCACTTGAAATAACTAGACCATTAGTAGAAGTAGAGATAGGTCACCTAAAACAACTAGACCATTAATAAAAGTAGGGATAGGTCACTCAAAACAACTAGACTATCAATAGAAGTAAGAATAGGTCACCCAAAACAATTACAACATAAGTAAAAGTAGGGGCGGGTCACCCAAAACAATCGGACTATCGGTAGAAGTAGGGACAATCTCGATCACTTTTTCTTCTACTATCACCTAATATTATGATGACATCAATTTTTTAAAAAATATATTATTGCTATTACTATACTATTATAACTATCCACTAGTACCTTCTCCTCTTACTACTCATTCTCCATCACTACCACCACTACTATTATTGCAATCATCTTTATTGTTTTTACCAATTAATATAGAACATAAGTAAAAAGTAGATATTATATTATAAATTATAAATTTAATTTCAATTATGTGTTACTATTCTAAATATAATATTGAAATTCAAATACTATTTTAATTTTCTAGTTTTCATTTGAATCCATGCATTTCATTCTAATTTTTTTATTCATGCTAACTAAACAACACCTAAAAAGCATGTTCATAAAAGATTCTTTCACGCAGGAGTCCAATGATTATGTTATTTTCTACTAAAAGCCTATGGACTGTAATAATTTCAAGGAATTTCTTCGAAGTTGCCTCTTGGTCTAACATAGAAAACCCACTCATTTAATGTGCCTTTCCATCTATAAGAATTACATAAGAAGCTTTTAAATAATAGTAGTAAAGGCTAAAGTAATTCTCATGCTCATTATGCCAAAGCCAAATCCTATTAATCATTTTTTTATTATTTTCTTATTTATTATTATTTTTTTAGATAATTGAAGAAAATTCATCAAACACCTCGAGAAGCAAAAGGCAAGCAACCAAGGAGAAAGAAAATTTATAGCAAATAAGGGAATAAAAAAACTAGAGGAATCTAAGAGTAAACAAGAAACCTAGAATAAAATAACTTAACAAAAGACAATAGACCACTAACACAAAGCACAAATTGCGGAGACCTAATGAGCTAAAAGACATGTAGAAAGATTTTATATTATTAGGCTATTCTAGAAATCATTCTATATAGAAAGTAAATCGTTAGTCTCCTAAGTATTTGGGGTTAATTTCTTAAATACTAGTTATCTTTATAATTTAGGGATTTTATAAGATTTTTTTTC